TTTTGCCCACTTTTTAATGGGGCTGTGTTTTTTCCTTTTGGCACATTTGAGTTCTTTGTAGGTCCTGGTTGTTTGTTAGGCCTTTGTCAGATATACAGTCGGCAAATATATTTTTCCCTTTCTGTGTTCTGTCTCCCTGCTCTCCTGATGGTTTCTTTTGCTTTCCAGAAGCTTTTTAGTTTGGTGAGCTCCCACATGTCTGTCTTATCTCTTATGGCATGGACATGTGGGATTTTGATCAGGAATTGGTTGCCAGTTCCGATTTCCATAAGGGTGTCTCCTGCATTTTCTAAGATTCTTATAGTTTGAGGTTTTACATTTAGGTCTTTGATCCATTTGATTTTTGTGTATGGTGATAGCTATGGAAAAACTTTCCACCCTCAGCCCTGTTGCAAAATTGAATAGATTTTTTAAATTGACAAATCCTTAGCTAGACTAAGGGGAAAAGAAAAGAAAAGACTCTAGTACATAAAATCAGGACCAGGCGTGTGGCTCTTATCTATAAACCAAGCACTTTGGGAGGCTAAGACAGGAAGATTGCTTGAGTCTAGGAGTTCAAGATCAGCCCAGACAACATAGTGACACTTCATCTCTACAAAAATAAAAATTAGCTGGGTGTGGTGGCACTTGCCTATAATCCCTGCTACTCAGGAGGCCGAGGCAGAAGGATCATCTGAACCCAGGAGATCAAGGCTGCAGTGAGCAATGATCATGCTGCTGCCTCCAGACTGGGACACATAATGAAACTCTGTGTCAAAACTCAAAAATAAATAAAATCAGAAATGAAACAGGAGGTGTTACAACTGATATAACAGAAGTAAGAAGAATCATAAGTGACAGTTATGTGCCAACAAATTAGGCAACCTAGAATAGAGAAATTACTAGAAACATGCAACCTATTTACGACTAAACCAAGAAGAAACAGAAAGCCTGAACTGACTATAACAAGTAAGGAGATTGAAACAGTAACAAAATACCTCCAACAAAGAAAAACCTAGAAACAGTTGACTCTGCAGATGAATTCTACCAAAGATTTAAGGAAAGATAAATGGTAATTTTTAAACTCTTCAAAATAGAAGAGGGATCTCTTCCCAACTCATTCTCTGAAGCCAGTATCACCTGATACCAAAGCCAGACAAAGACCCTTTAAGAAAGGAAAATTATAGCCAGCATCCCTAATGAACATAGATACAAATATTCTCAACAAAATGCTAGCAAACTGAACACAATTGTACATTAAAAGAATCAGATAGCATGACTAAGAATTATGGTTCAACATGTGAAAATCTATGTGTGATATACTCCACATTAAGTTTTAAAAACATCACATGGTCATCTCAATAGATATAGAAAAAGTATTTGACAAAATTTAACACTCCTTCATGATAAAAACTCTCAACAATTTAGCTAAACAAGAAACATATTTCATTACAATAAAAGCCATCTATGAACATCTTACAACTGCCTTTATATTCAGAGGTGAAAAGTTGACAGCTTTCTATCTAAGCTCTAAAAAAGGCAGGGATGCTCATTCTTGCCTGTTCTAGCCAACATAATAAATACTATTTGTAGGTGTTTGGTTGGGATATTAAAAGGGGTTGAAAAATTGCTAGTCAATTATAATTTAAGTTGTAAGATATCTATTTTGTTTTTGGATAGTAACTATATTTTGTTAGATGCTCTAGGGTTTTTTTTTAATTTCTGTTTTTTATTTTATTAAATCTTCCCCTAATATTCTTATGACTTGCTTCCTCATTTGACTTTTGTCTTAGCTCAAATATCACATCATTTCACACACATCATTTCTGCCCACATTTAATTGGCCACAGCTTGGTCCTGTAGCTATTCTAGTAGATGTATGGAAGTCTAAGAATTGCAGCCTCTAATCTGAACTGTTGAGTTTTCTGTTACTGCAAGGAACAAGGAGAGAATTGATTGCAGGGGTCTAGCTGTTGTATTGGTTTACTACTTTTCCTAACTATTCTGAATAAAATAGCATACCTCCATCTCTCTAACCCCTTTTTACAGTAAGATCTGTGTATTTCTCTTTTTACTTGTAATAAAATATTAAAATAATTAGTGTAGCCCTTTCATTTAGCAATAATCATGTCTTACTTTAATTATAAAACCTTTGATAAAACCCAAACCACTATTTTAAGACAACTTGGAAATAGAAGGAGTACCCAGAGTCCCTACGATCTAGATAGGCTTCTAGGGCTTTATGAGTCCTATGCAGTTGTGAGCCAAATTGTTCATGAATGTACATTTATATAGCTTGATGGTTATGATCGTGGGTTCTGAAGTCACACTATGTTGCCCAGGCTGGTCTCGAACTCCTGGACTCAAGTGATCCTTCTGCCTCAGCCTTCTAAAGTGCCAGGATTACAGTCATGAGCCACTGTGCCCAACATGTCTGAGTTTAAATTAATCTCTGTCTTGTGTTACATTAGTAGCTAAAGCAATTTGCTTAACTGGACTGTGCTGAGTTTTTCTATCTGAAACATGAGAATAATGGTGTATCTCTACTTCGTATAATTGGTGTAGGAACTAACACTAGTTAATACATTTAAAGTACTTAAAATAGTATCTCACAATATCAGGTGTTATATAAATACTAGTATTTTTATTGATGCATAATTTTTGTATTTATGGGGTACATGTTGTATTTTGATACATGCATAGAATATGTAATGATAAATTCAGGGTATTGAGCATATTCATCACCATGAACATTTATCATTTCTTTATATTGGGAACATTTCAGTCTTCTCTTCTAGCCATTTAAAAATATGCAATATATTGTTGTTAACTCCAGTCACCCAACTGTGCTACTGAACATTAGACTTCATTCCTTCTGTGTATGTTTGTACCCATTAATCTACTCTGTTCATTCTCCCTTTCACCAACACACACATCCTTTTCAGCCTCTGGTAACTATCATTGTACTCTATCTCCATGAGTTCAACTTTTTTTTCTCCCACATGTGAGTAAGAACATGCAGTATTTGTGTCTGTGTGACTGCCTATTTTTTCTATAACACCTCCAGTTACATCCATGTTGCTATAAATGGCAGGATTTTTAAAATTTTTTTGAACAAATGGTATTCCATCGTGTGTGTGTGTGCGCGCGCGCGCGTGTGTATTACATTTACTTTATTCCATTCATCTGTCAATAGACATTTGATTCCATATCTTTGCTACTGTGAATAGTACTATAGTAAACCTGGGGTTGCAGATATCTGCTTGATATACTGATTCTTTTCCTTTGGATAAATATCCAATAATGGGATTGCTGGATCCCATGATAATTCTATTTTTAGTTTTTTGACAGATCTCCATTTTGTTTTTCATAATTGCTGTACTAATTTATATTTCCACCTATCCTGTATAAGAATTCTTGAGCCGGACTCGGTGACTCAGTCTGTAATCCCACGCTTTGGGAGGCTGAGGTGAGTGGATTGCCTGAACCCGCGTGTTCGAGACCCACCTGGGCAACTTGGGGAGCCCTCATCTCTACAATAAATAAAAAAATTAGCTGGGCGCGGTAGCCTGCGCCTGTAGTTCCCGCTACTTGGAAGGCTGAGGCGGAAGGATCACCAGAGCCCAGCAGGTTGAGGCTGCGGTGGCCGGGAACAGCCACTGCATCCAGTCTGGGTGACAGAGTGAGACTCCAACTCAAAAAAAAAAAAATTCTCTTTTTCCTGCATCCTCACCAGCATGTTATTTTTTGTCTTTTTGATAACCGTCATTCTAACTGGAGTAAAAGTATATCATTGTGGTTTTGATGTGCATTTTTCTAATGATTAGTGATATTAAGTATTTTTTCATTTACCCATTGGTCATTTGTATATTTCTTTGGGAAATATCTATTCAGATCCTTTGCTTATGTTGTAATGGGGTTATTTCGTTATTTTGCTGTTGAGTTGTTTGAGTTACTTTTATTTTTATTTACAGCTCCGTGGGCAGGGTTCATATCTTCAATCTGATTTAAAGTAGGGCCTATTATTAATTTTAATTTAATACCTGAAAGAAACCCTTTTCACAGGCTATGGTTATGAAATTTAAACTTTTTCTCTATTAATCAAGTTATCCCTCACAGTGCAGAAGCTTATTTAGTGGAATCTATCTCAATTGCGTTTTCTTGTTTCAAAATTTTTATTTCATTTTGCTTTTTATAGTATAATGATATAGAGATTTGTGTTTATCTTCATTTTCTTTGTATTGTCACAGTTTTTATAAAATTTAAACCAGTATTTTCAAGCATTAATTTAAAATAGAAATTGATTTATTTTCCTTTTCGATAATGCTGTGGAAACAATAGTTCTGCATTAGGAGTTTGAATATGAGGAAGTTGCATGTATAACTATAAGTTTGGCAGTAGATAGATGATTAAGCAGTGAACATTAATTTTTGTTGTTGTTACTTAAATCGTAAGTGCAATTGAGCCAAATTGGATCATAGTTGAAAATCTTACAGTCTCTTAATATAATGAAGAAATAACAGCTTGTACAGCTGTTCTTTTTCTGAAAAAGGAACATAGTGACTAAAAAAAGTTAATGTTTCAACATTGTTAGAAATGAGTTAATATTGTTCTGTAAAAAATTGCCAAATGTCATACTTAATAAGTCACTTCTTAAAAAAAATTAGGTCAGCAATAAATATTCAGTTTCTCATTACTTATCTCCTATAGTTACTGAACATGAAGAGTACTTGCATTTTAGATTGCTTTTGCTAAATCTTAGAGAAATTGTTTTGGCAAATTGGTTGATATCAGACTTGGAGCCTAAACACAAAGCAGCTGTTGTTGAGCAAATACCATTTTCATAACATTGTTATGCTTTCAATTAACAAACTGAAATGATCTGTTAAACATCACCATTTCCATGTTTAACTACTGTTTGACTTTCTCAATGACTGATTTACTTTCTCAATAGATTGTTTACTTTAATTGAAATAAGAAGAATTTTATTTAAATAATTCATATTTTCCTCCCATCTGCAGAATGTACTCAAGAAAAGTGGGGATTTCCAATGTGCCACTATTTAAAGGAAGAGAGATGGTGTTGTGGCCGTAATGCCAGAATGTCAGCATGTTTGGTACGGTTATATTTTTTCCTGGAGTAAGAGCTTTATTTGGATGTTACAGGATTTATTGTTTTTGGCTATTACCATGCATTAAATGCCAAATTTTGTAGAAAAATTAATTAATTTTGCATACTGCAAATTATGAGAAAATATGACTTGCCCTTTCAACATTACCCACTCTGCACTTAGTGTTGTAAGTAATTTTTATATACAATCATTTTAGTTATTATTCAAAATGTAATATAAGATGGTTAATACAGCTCTGTGGTTTGTTTGTGCTTGTTTGTAGCAGATCATTTAGTTTCTTAAGTTTTTATAGAATGAGGAAAATATTATTAAGCTACCTGGGATATGAAGAAACTGTCTAGTTAACTAAAACCCTTATTGTGCCTTATTTGACTAGTGTCCATAGGTCTAGAACATTTTAGTCAACAGTGTTCTCTGTTCATGGCATTATATTGGTTTATAGAGAAACAAATTAAATAATGTAAGTAGTTTTTATATTATCAGAAATTTAAAATACTGTAATTATGTAGGATAAATACATTTAGAGATATAAAGTACAACATGAGGACTACAGTTAATAATATTGTATGTATACTGGAAATTTTCTAATGAGAGTAGATTTTTAGATACTCTTACTGCCCATGCAAAAAAGATAATTATGTGAAATGATAGATATGTTAAATTGCCCTCACCTGTTATAATCATTTCACTACATACAGATACTCCTAACCTTATGATGGGGTTTTGTACCAATAACCACTATGTAAATTGAAAATATCATTAGTTAAAAATACATTTAATGCATCTAACCTACCAAACGTCCTAGCTTAAACATGCTCAGAACAATTAGATTGGCCTATAGTTGGACAAAATCATCTAACAAAGCCTAATTCTAAGAAAAAGTGTTGCAAATATCATGTAATTTATTGAAAACTGTACAGAAAGTGAAAAACAGAATGGCTGTATGGGTACTCAACATATGGTTTCTACTGAACACACATTGCTTTTGCACCATAATAAAGTCTAAAACTCACAAGTTGAACCATCAGAAGTTGGGGACTGCCCATATATGTTTATCAAAACATCATGTTATACACTTTCAATTTATATAATAAAAATTTTCTAAAATAAAAATAGAATATAGTTGTGAAATAATACGTTTAATGTTCAACCACAAGATAAACTAATTATTTTAGGGTCTATTATTTCTATTCCAGTTATATAGCAATATAATAAACAATGTACCAGTGTTCTATGTTATATATCCTAGAATTATCTTTGAAATATATTTATGCTAAAACAATAATTTCCTTATGTAGCCCCACTTAAAATATTTTTCTGGAAATTAGTCTTTATTGTTTCTTTTTATCTGTAAATGATACTTGTTAAGAGTTTTGTTAGAATGTCAGGTCATCTTGGAATGATTTGGCTTTCAGAATGTTGGCAGCCAGTCTTTTCCCTCCAGGCAGGAAATTGAGAATCTGACTAGCCTCACACAAAAGACCTAAAGATATTGACATTAGAGATTTTACAGTGTAATAGGATAGATCTTCCCCTCTGTGGTGAGACCCACAACTAATAGTCCTCACGCATAAGCACAATACTTCTAATCAAATTTATGTTATTCCCATTTTAATTATCAACAGACAGTCATGTCAATTTCTAAGGAAAGTCTAATAACAAAAAATAGAGATCAGACTGAAAATAGGAAAGAAAAAGAAACTTGGAAGAAATGGAGACTATTCAAAATAAAATAAACTAATATTTGTTAGACAAAACAAGAATGATTGCTATAAAAATCAACATTCAAATAACTGAAAATAACTTTTGAAAAATAAATTCTGTAAATACAGATTTAGCAGACTGTGCTGGTCTCAAGAACTTTCCATGACCAGTGTCAGCTTCCCACAGAATACTCCTCTCCCTAACTCCATCCCAACTCTTGTCCACCTTGATTTTTTTTTTACTCCAAAGCAATCTTGAAAAGTCTAAGATATGTTCATTTTGGTGCATCTTGTTTTTTTTGCCTTTTGTTCCATATTTGATCTTTCCACAAATATTCCAAGATTAAGGGATTAAAAAAATCTCTTTCTAGGAAAACAGATAAATAGTTAAGGCTCTAATTAGAAATAAAATATTAATTAAATTAGAGCAATCTTATCCGCATACTTTAAGTCTGATAAAACTTCAAAGTTATTTCATATTTAGGAAGTAACCAGGGTAGCCTAAAAGTAAACCAGGAATCAAAGAGCAACTTTTTTAGTTTTCGCTCAGTTGCTATCTGTTTACCTTGAGCAATGTTACTTAACTTATCAGTTACTTTGTGCATCTGCAAAACTTACCTTCACACAAGATAATCCGTAAATTACCTTTTGACTTTAACAGTGTAAAATTTGGCTATATTTTAAAAGTCTCTTTTCGAAAACCTAGAGACCGAAGCAAATATGGATCTTTTACATCGACATGTATGTGCTGATCCATTATGCTTCTATTACTTTTCTTTGAAATGTTTTATAATTAAAATCTTAAAAATCTGATTCCTATATGTAGAAATGTCTCTAAAAAATAAAAAATTTCAGAAGACTATTTCATATTTAAATTTTTATAAATCTATAAGTTTAACTTTAAAAACCAGTACATGTAAAATTGTTAAAATATGTATTACTTTTTCTCTTATATAACACTTAATCATATGTGAATTTGATTTGAATTTTCAGACCACACAGACCAAAAAGACACATACTTTTCCAAAATATGCTTTAAACTATAATCTGTTTACTAAAAGATTGAATAATTTATTAGAAAGTATGATAAACTGTGTTATATAAGTGTATCCATATGTCTGTATGTATGTATAATTATGGCTTTACATTTATTTGATTACTTTAGCTACACAAAAAGTGAGCCAAAAATATGTCATTTCATTTATTTCCTGTTTTCTAGTTCCTTCTGAAATTCTAGGACTGTGTATAATTGGAATTGACATTCAAGGATATGTGTTTGTGTATGTGACACACATCCATTATAAATCAGCCCTAAATTACATAAGCATACTAGTTAACATTCTTTAATGATATTAACACTTCTAAGGGCATAAACTTACAAGTTATCACTTAACTAATCTTTTTAAATGTCACTTTTACAAACTCTTATACTGTGTGTTTATAAATCTTGTAAGACTAAATATATCACCAGTTTGTCTTGTTTTTTCTTTCCTTAAAGGCATTGGAGCGGGTTGCAGTTGGCCAAGGGGTAAGTAAGAGTGTTAATCCAACTGATGAACATGACAGTTTTTCTCTCAAGTATTCTTCATTCTTGACCTACTGATGAACCTAAACCCTGATGGATTTTAATAAATAACACCTCTACTTGTCACTGCTACATATTCAGTTTTACATATTTTCTGTTGGTTTACTTCAAAAGCAAAAGGAATTTTCAAACAGTAAATTGAGCTTTTAGAAAAATGTCTACGTTAGGTTCTTACACTAACCTCTCATTTCTTCATAATATACTAAGCTGTCTATAAATATTTCTAAAGACTGCTTTTGCTCGCTATCATGCTTTTATGGGTTTAGTTCAAGCAAACATGAACAAAATAGTATTCAGTATGTTCAGTATGTCATTTTTAACTATACTCCAAACACATATTTTAGTTAGTTTGTCTGATGACTTATTTTCTTATTAACTTGATTAGTCATTAGTTGCAGTAACCAAATGAGTTTGTACATATAAGCAGAAGTTAAATATAATCCCCAAATTATCCATACAGTTGTCTTATCCTTCACCTTGTATTCTTGAAGTAGTATAGGAAGTTTTTAAACTTTTATAAGCTTTTAAAATTTAGCTTATATTTTAGAAATATCTGTTTTGCTTTTCATCAAGGAATATTAATATGCCAATTTGAATTTTTAAAAATAATAATAGTTTAAGAATAATTTTGATATATAACAAGTGTCAACAATAAGTGTCTTTTACTGAGGGCTTATTCTGGGTCAGGAGAATTGCCAAGCATTTGTTTTTTTAATATACTCACTGTGCCTATCTAAAAATAAATAAAAACTGATTCTTTTGTTTTGCATCATGTCTTCATCACTTACCGGTTTAATGACCTTGGGCACATGTTATAATTTTTTGGTAGCTTAACTTCTTTATCTGTAAAGTAGGCAAAATAACAACAGTACTAGAATAATAATAATTCTTTCCTCATAGGATTATGAGGTTTAAATTAATACAAGATGTAAAATACTTAAAACAATGTCTAACACATAGTAAGTGCCAATAAATGTCATCTGTTGTTGCTATTATACATAATTAATAATTATGATCATAAAAATAATAGCTAAATCTAACACAGAGCTTAACCAAAGTGTTGTTCAAAGTTCTTCTCGTCAATTAAGGCAATACATACATGTACTATAAGGTCTGTACTATTATTATCCCATGATACATGTGAGGAAATGGGAAGGTAGAAAATGCTGAGACTGAAATTTCTATCTAACTCAAGAATTCAAGCTTTCAACTATTATACTACATATCAACTCTGTGGTTTTCTAGAAGCCTGGGGGAAGAAAAATTTTATTATAACACTTTAATAAAATTTTGTGGTATTTTTTTAATTTTACAAGTGTTTGCTCATGCTTATAATCAGCCTTATGAAATGGGTATTATTCTAAACTTACATGAGAATGATACACAGCAAAAGTTTAATAGTGTCTTCTAGTTCCCGTAATTAATTACAGAGCCCCAGCTTCTAGCTTTATGCTCTTTCCACTAGACCTGTAAAATGCATATCCAATACATGTGCTTTCAGAGTGCGCACTTTCTACTCCCTCCCATTTTTCAAATGCATTAAAGTGTTAAGTTGATTTATCACCTGTGAGGGAAAGAAAGTAAACTTTGAGCCATATCCAGTTTATTCCTGGAAGAGTCAGGCACAGACTGCTCGGGAGATGTCGATTCCCTTCCCACTTAGTCATCTGTATTTACCAGGATAGATAATCCTAGTTATTCCAGGAATGTACATTTGAAGACATTTTATAACTGTCTTCCCTTTCTCTTAGGAAACAGCTGTAAAGCTCTTACTTATTCAGAGTAACTTGGAAATGATAATGTATTCTATTCTGTTGTATTTGTGCATTCCATTTCTTTATATTCTCTTGCTTACAATCCATTTCTTGATCTTTTTGTTGCCTTGTTATAATAATTTTAATAGCAATATAAATACACATTTATTTCTAAATTATATTTATACCATCCTATATCATTTTTTTAAATATGTGAGAAAAAAATGTTAATTATTAGGAGTTTTTTCTGTCTTAAGAAAACTACCTACAAAAAAAAGTCCTGGACCAGATTGCTTTCCAGCAGAATTCTACAAAACATACAAGGAGGAGCGTATACCAATCCTATTGAAAGTATTCCAGTCAATCAAGAAAGACAAAAATCTCCCCAAATCACTTTATGAAGCTAACATCACATTGATACCCAAACCAGCTAAAGAGTCAACAAAGAAAGAAAACTACAGTTCAATATCCCTGATGAGCACAGATACAAAAATCCTCAACAAGATTCTAGCAAATCGGATCCCACAACACATCTCAAAAATCATCCACCATGACTAAGTAGGCTTCATCTCTTGGATACAGGGCGGTTCAACATCTGTAAGACCATAAACATAATTAAATACAACAGATGTAAAAGCAAGAACTACACGATTATATCATTAGATGCAGAAAAGGCTTTTGATAAAATCCAGCATCCCTCCTTGATAAAAAACGCTTTTACACCTAGGCATACAGGAAACATCTATGGTAAACCCACAGCCAACATATTGCTAAACAGACAGAAATTGAGAGCATTTCCTCTGAAAACTAGAACAAGAAAAGGCTGCCCACTCTTACCCCTCCTGTTCAACATAGTGTTAGAAGTCCTAGCTAGAGCAATTAGACGAGAAAGAAATCAAAGGTATCCATATAGGAAAAGAGGAAGTTAAGTTAACCCTCTTTGCTGACAATATGCTTCTATACCTTGAAAACCCAAAAGAATCTGTCAAAAATCTCCATGCACTGATTAAGGACTTTGGCAAAGTCTCAGGGTATAAAATAAATGTGCAAAAGGAAGCCGCATTCTTATACACCAACAACAAACAACAAAAAAGTGAAAGACCTTTACAAAGAAAACTACAAAAGACTGCACAAAGAAATAAAAGATAACACAAACAAATGGAAAACTTTTCCATGCTCATGGACTGGAAGAATTAACATTGGTAAGATGTCCGTTCTACAAAGGCAATCTACAGATTCAATGCAGTATCCATTAAATTACCAACATCATTCTTCTCATACCTAGAAACGACAGTACAGAAATTCATGTGGAAACATAAACGACAATAAATAACCAAAACAATCCTTAGCAAAAGAAGCAAAGCAGGAAGTATCACACTTCCAGGCTTTAGACTCCACCATAAGGCTACAATAATCAAAACAGCCTGGTATTGGTACAAGAACAGGCATATAAGCCAATGGAACAGGATAGAAATTCTAGAAGCAAAACTTCAGTTTTCAATCAACTCATCTTCGACTAAGCCTCCACCAACCAACACTGGGGAGAGGAGAACCTATTCAGTAAATGAATGGTGCTGGGAAAACTGACCACATGCAAAAGATTGAAACAGGACTCCTACCTATCACTATACACAAAAATCAACTCTAAATGTATTAAAGAACTAAACATAAAATCTCAGACAATAAGAATCTTAGAAAAACAGGACATCCTTACGGAAATTGGGACAGCCAATTTCTGAGCAAAACCCCAGATGCCCATGCCATAAGCGATAAGATAGACAAAAGGGATCTCATCAAACTGACAAGCAAACAATCAAGAGGAGACAACCCACGAAATGGGGAAAAAAATATTTGTCAACTGTATATCTGTCAAAGGCCTAACATCCAGTATCTACAAGGAACTCAAATGTGCCAAAAGGGAAAAACAAAACAGGCCTATTAAAAAGTGGGTAAAATATATGAATGAACACTTCTCAGAAGATATATATATATATATAAGCAACCAACAGATAAATGAAAAAAATGCTTAGCCTCACTAATCATCAAAGAAATGCAAATTAAAACCACACTGAGATACTACCTAACTCCAGTCAGGATGGCTATCATCAATAACTCAAAAAACAACAGATGCTGGAGAGGATGCAGGGAAAAGGGGATGCTTCTACACTGTTGGGAGTGTAAACTAGTACAAACTCTATGGCAAACAGTGTGGTCATTCCTCAAAGTTCTAGAAGTCAGCCTTCCATATGACCCAGCAATCTGCTTAGTGGGAATATACCTGGAAGAACTCAAATCATTTTATGAAAAAGATACCTGCATGTGCATGCTTATTGCAGCATTATTCACAATGGCAAAGACATGGAAGCAACTGTGCTGTCCTTTAAAAGTGGACTGGCTAAAAAAATGTGGTATATATACACGATGGAATATTAAGCAGCCATAAAAAAGGACAAAGTTATGGACTTTGCAGCAACTTGGATGGATTTAGAGTCTATAATATTCAGTGATCTGTCACAGAAACAAAAAACTGAGTACCACATGTTCTCACTCATAAGCAGACCCTGAACATTTATCATAATACTGTAAGAAAGGGACTGGCAATAGTGGGACACTGCCAGGGAGCAACGGGGGGAGCACATAACATTAACAAAGGTACCTGGCTCAAACCAGGTGAAGTGGGGACCAAAGGGAGGCCCAAACTTTACCTGTATGATGACCACTTATATACCTAATTCTGAATTGTACATCAAATCTTTAAAATAAAAAAGTAAAATAAAATTATTAGGAGCTTTATATAAAATTAAAGTTTTTATCTATTATAGCTAATCAGGCAAAAAGTTAAGACCTTGGTAAACCATTTATAGTACTAATACTAATATTTCACTTCATCCAATAGATTTATCAAAATGGCCTTGAATTTCAGTAGAATGTTATAAGAGTATGTGTTAATATATACAAAGAGGTTTGGGCATTTTTGTGAAGCAATTGAAGGGATTTTTAAGGATAGATGGTAGACATTTTGGTACTCTAGGAAGGAGTTACTCGAAATGAGAAAATCTCCAGTGGAAAATATATCCAGAGATAAGAAATTCTAAATGAAATATTTCAGTGCAGTTTTCAAGGAAGGGAAAATTTTGAAATTAGTAGTTTTTGTCTCAAGTTCCAGAGTGGTATTGGAAAGATATTTTATAAAAGAATTGTGCCTTTGAAAGTTATAAATGTTAGTGTGGGTACTCAAATATACTCCACTTTCAGTGAGTTATTTAAGGAGTTGATTTGGGGACTGGTATTTCTAACACCATTTCTTCCTGGAATCACCATCTCCAGTGTTCCTACTTTCCAAAGATAGAACCTATGTTCTTTCACAGTACTCTGTTAAAATGCTGTAAGTCAGATGTTCTCCAGTGATTTAAATGGCAGTGCTGTCAGGGAAAACCTAAGAAATAACAATTGACCCTCAACTCCCACTTCTGGTTCTTATAGTGGATGGGGGAGAGGGGCAGTCAAGTAGGTTTTCTGCCTGAGCACACAGATAAAATTTTATTTTGCTATAAACTCCATCTGAATTCAAACATATTTATTCTTGTTGAAACAGATGAAAATAACAGTTTTAGCTCCAAAAGAGAATAGAAGTTACAAAAGGATAACTGTGGATATACACATTTCACTGAACTTTGTCTTTAAAATTTTACCAGTAGGACAGCTTTTTGCTTTACCTTGACTTCTTAAAAACATTCAGTATTTTTTTCTTCCCTTTGTTTTTACTCATTTTTCTTTATCTTCTTTTTTTCTTCAATAATAACTTTATATGAAAGCTGGATCGTTGATGTAACATTATTTTGTGTTGGATGTTCCTGTTCTTGGTGTCAATATCAAGAGATCTGTGGGGATGTGGATAGGGTTTTGGTGACTGTTGTAGTTTTTTTGTACCTATATTGTTGCTGCAGTAAAGTGCTTTTTCTTTTATAAATAGTAATTTTTTAATTTATTTTTTCCTTCTGCTTCTTTGAAACTGGTATGCTTCTCTTCAGCCATTCCTTTTTTCCCTTTCAAAAACCTTTGAAACTTCATGGGACATCTCCCATCTCTCTTGCTGCCAGAGGTAAAGTGTTGCCAAGATTGCAGTCTCTTATCCTGTGTCCTTTCCAAGGTTCTGCTTTTCAACTCTGCAGTAGCCAGTGCTGTCTTTTGGACCTCAGACATATCTGTAGTATTTCCTTTCTTAGGGCCAAGAGTGTGAATCCTAGTTAATGCTATCTTTATTCCACCTCCATTAAGACAACCACATTTCCTTCTTTTTTGCACATATCCTTCCTGACTCTTACAAGCTCCAGAGCTGACTTGGCTGATCTTGAAAGTTTATTTCTACATTTTTAACTGATAAGTACTCCATTTGGACATTCGTTTATTTTTCATTGATTATGACTTTTCTTTCTTATTTAGTACTGTTTCTTGTATGGTTTCTTCTATATTCTTGCAGAATTACTTTCACAGTATTAGTCTCGGGGTAATACTTTAACTTAGAATGAAGAAAATTATTAAGTTGTTCCTTGTTTAGCAACAAAGTCAGATTTTTCATATTCACTTATGGTCCCAACACTCTGATATTGATTTCCTTTCTTTTTTTTATTATTATTATCTGTTTCTTGTGCTTATATATGTTTACATTTTTTACAGCTGCCTACTGAATCACTCTTCTATCGTGCCGTTCTTCAGGATATTATTAAAGATTGCTATGGCATCACCAAATGGTATGAGAATTTTATTTTAATATGAATAACTATTATTTTTTAGGTGAAGTGACTCTTAGTCTTCTGGTGAGTTTATGCAGGATCACTGTTATTAGTAGAAGAATCTTTGAATTTGAGCATAATTTCAATCACAAAGAGTACAGGACAACCTGTATCTTAGGTTAATCATCATTAAAATAGGGGCTCTGAGTTTTCCTTCTCATCCTGAAAGGTTGTTTTAATGATGAAGAAATAGATGTAAAATGTACTTTGGAATTTTTAGAGTATTGAAATGTTATATATAAGTAATTCAGTGAATACATTATTATATGAGCAAGAGTTTTATTTAGAATGCTTCACAACCAATACAGCATAAACACTTAACTAATTAGGACATACCAATCATAAACAATTATCATGGTTATTCGAGTCTTTACAGATAGTACAGTAGCACTGCATAAGTTTTGTTTTGTGTCTGTTGTTCCCAAATAATGTTCTGCTTATACATGGAGGCAGGGAGTGGGGTAACTTTTTCATAATATTGGTTTAGCAGCTATTGTAATCAAGCATAAATTTTCAGTTGTGACAGGTTTTATAAATGTCCTTTGGCTAATTACAGTTTTAGGAATCTGAGAGCCACTTGGTATGATAAAATTATTTTTCAAATGAAAATAAGGAAATTTTCAGGTTCAAAAAAGTCAGTCCACATTTATTAACAGAGATAAAAGAGATTTTTAGATTAGCCATTATTTCTCTGTAAGAAAAAATACCTACTTTTTACTGATAGAAGATACTATGTACAGATAGATATTTATAGACTATTGTTTTCAACTGTCATTTTTATGTGGATAACTCCCAAGTCTGTACTCAGTCTTTATTCTCTTTTTTACATATTTGCAAGTCTTTAAAATGTCTAAAAATGAATTTTTCATGTCCTCTTAAAAACTAGTTTCTTCTCTTGAACTTACCCCAAGTGCTACCCATGTTGAAAAAAAATCATAAAATTGTGCAAATTCATATCCACTCAAATATGTACTACCTGCCTTTTTTAAAAAAAACTCAAATGTGTTTATTGTTTTTCTTATGACTTCTTAGTTTCTATTCTTTTCTAAATTGTCTTTTTACATAAAAAAAGACACTATGTACTATCTGTACATTGTATCTTCTATCAGTAAAAAGTAGGTATTTTTTCTTACAGAGAAGTAATGGCTAATCTAAAAATCTCTTCTATCTCTTCCATCCTTCCACATTCCTGCCTTTATTTAACTACTCAGAAGATTGATGGTACTTGTTGTGACTTCTTTCATTCCTGAGCCTCATTGACCTTGCAACCACATTTTACCTTGTTGATACTTATTTTTTTCTCTAAAGTCTCTTCCTCATTATCTTCAATTATGCTGCATTCTTCAGAGTTTCATTTTCCTGCTCTAAACACTCATCTGTTTTCTGTACAGTTTCTTCTTCTTATTCCATCCCATAAGTGTATCTAAGCAGCCTTTAATATTTTATATGCAGCTCCTGTCTCTGTATTTCCCTTTCTCTTGCTTACCTCTTACTCACCCCAAATAACTCTTGAGTCATGTAACTATAACTAGCTCCCACCTCTTTTTAGAAATTCCACTCTTCATTTCTCATTTTTATCTCAGTAATTTCACTTAAGTGCCTCACAAATACATCAAATTCAGCTCCATCCAAAAACCAACATGATCTTCCAGCAATTATCTTCCTCTTTTTTCCTTCACTTTTTTATTTCTGGGAATGGTATGGCTACTATTTAAACTTTAGAATTCTAGAAAATTGTTCTTTCTAGATTGTTCTTTCACCATTCAACCACACAATCTAATCTGTTGTCAAGATTTGCACATTATTATTTTTTTTAATCTATCAATTATTTTCTTCTGACAGACAGCCTAAGTTCTAGAGATTCTAGAAACATAGGAAATGCCAGTGTTTTATATTCTAGTCGGATGGCATATGTAAAAACCAAACAAAATTATAGAAACTAACTTTCAGTAACAGCAGACTAGATAATTAGGACCAATCTCATTTCTGAGAAAAGCTAAAAGTGTTAGAGATGTGTGTGCATATGCATGTGTGTGTGTTTTTTTAATTTTTTTAAATTGCTTTGAGAATATTAAAGACCTATCAAAGAAGTTAAGAACTATAGGGAAAATATCTAAGAGGACATTGAATCCAGGAGAGGTAAGATCAGCTTTTTAGGGCTATGCTTTTCTCAGAGGCAACTGGTAATTCTTGAATAGGCAGCTGCCTACCAATCAACAAAGAGAGCTGAGACAGGGTGAGCACAGCTTTTAGTTGGATGACAGTTCTACAGAGATAGAAGTTAGAGTTCATGATGCGATGAGGACTCAGAAGCAGAGTAGGTAAACCACTCATACTTTGAGTTAGATTCCTAAGAGTTCATACTGTAAGAATGAGAAGGACTAGAAATAGCAATCCTAAAATGGACTAAAGCCCACTCTGAATCATCTCAAACTGTGATTAAAGTATTTCAGATTATTGCTTCTGTCAGCTGCCTGCAAGAAATAAATTCCTTTTGGACAAGAGTAATATAAATCTCAGCATCAAATTATCACTACAGTTTTATATTTATTGTCAATCCAAAATACCTAGCCATATGATACAACAAGGCAACATGACCAAAATCTAAGATCAGAGGCAGTCATCAGGAATGGCCATTTAGAAAATCCAGAGAAAGGCTTAAAATAACTATACTTGAGAGACTTACACTCTAGAAAAATAGAATAAGTGTACTTTTTCTATTTTTTTCTGCTAAGTACAATTAAATATCCTGAATATTATACATAAAACAAACATAAAACTCTGTTCTTGACTGCCTATAGCTAAAAAATAATAAAAGTAAAGAAGACTGAAAGAGAATAAGGTAGACTGGGTAGGGATATCAGAACCCACAGAACAGTACAGTATTAGTTCACCGGATTGACTTTTTGCTTAATATAGACCAGAATTGGAGTTGGAAAAACTGGTAATCCAGAAACCCCAATGGACACAGACAAAAAAGAAAATTTCAAACAAAAACTTTCTATCTAGCCAAAGAACTAAAGGGCAACCCCAAAAAAACATTTGACACAATTGCCATACTGTAGCCAAAAACCACAGAAAAACCTGTGGCTTCACACTCACCCATGTCAACAGAGGCCGAGTACCTACACTTTCATCCTTGCTAGGCTTTAATGAGACTCCCTTGCAACCGTTTTGTACTGAGGTGTTAGAGAAGGCTGTGCTGGAAACTAGGACTTTCATTTCCACCAGGTGATAACAAATGCCTCACCACCACTGTCACATTGTTGTAGAGACTATATGAGAAGCCTGGACTTTCTACCCACTTGGCGGTAATAAGATACCCCTCAAAGTGCTCAAAATCACTAATCATCAGAGAGATGCAAATTAAAACCATAAGGTAGTTTCACCTGACGCCTCTTAGATTTGTTATCAAAAAGATAAAAGATAAATTTTGCAAGGACATAGATAAAAGGATACATTTGCACACTGTCATTGGGAATGTAAATTAGTATCGCCATTATGGAAATCAATATGGTGATAAACTTAAAAACAGAACTACCATATAATCCAGCAATCCCACTACTGAGTATATGTGCAAGGGAAATTAAATCCGTATGTCAAAGATTTCTCTGTACTCCATGTTTACTACAGCATTCACAATAGCCAAGATATAGAATCAGTCTAAGTGTATATCAATGAGTGAATGATTAAATACACATATGGAGAGATACAGATATGAATATTTATGTATGCATAAATATATAAAAGAGAATACTATTCAGCCTTACAAAGGAAGGAAGTCCTGTCATTTGCAACATCATGGATGAACATGGAAGACATTATGTTAAGTTAAATAACTAGGAATAGAAATACAGATACCTCATGATCTCATTTATATGTGACATCAAAAAAGGTTTAATTCATAGAAGTAGAATAGAAGGACGTTTCCTGGGAGGCAGGGATGTGGTAGTGAGTAGAGGAGTCAGAGAGATGTTGGTCAAAGTTTATACAATTTCAGATAGGAAAAATAAGTTAAAGAGGTCTGTGGCACAACGTGGTAACTATAGTTAATAACAATGTATTGTATTCTTAGAATTTTCTCTGAAAGTAGATGTTAAGCGTTCTCATCACAAAAAATGATACGTATGTGAGGTAATTATGCATATGTTACATAGCTAAATTTAGCCATTTTACAATGTGTGCATATTTAAATATTGCTGAATGTTGTGCACAATAATATATGCAATATTTACTTGTCAGTTAAAAAATCTTCAAACCTTGGGAAAATGTAAGGTTTTAAGTTACAAATTAGTAAATTTAAAAAAACAGAAATGAAGAAAAAAAGTGAAAATTATATCAGACCAAAATAGACTGTACAAATGAGGAAAAAAGGAAACAAAAACATCAGAAGGAATGGAAAAAACAAAATTTAATACTCTTACCTAATTTTTTGAAAGGCTTGGTGAATTAGAAACAGAATCAGTTCCTTATTATCAAATGCCATTCAATAACATTAAGTGGAAAAACATTAAAATAGTCTTGTCAATATCAGAAACAAGAAAAGATGCCTACTACTACCACTTAAAATCAACATTGGACTTGAAGTCATAGCCATCACTATAAGATTAGAAAAGTAAGTGAATGTTTTAAGGATTGGAAAGGAAGAAACAAACCTTCTTGGTTTCTTGCTGATGATATTATAGACTACATGGAGCATCTAAATAACCAACAAATTATTAAATTAAAGAGTTTAGGAAGATCATCAGATATTCAAAGATCTATTTATTTACCCAATAATGATTAGACAACATAGCTTTTAAGTACCACTTGAAATTTGAATTAAAAATCATATAGCTAAGAATAAAACTAACAAAGAATAAGAATTTCATGAGGAGTGATATCACCAAAGTGATGGGGTAGAAAGAATCTGGCTTCATTCTCTCCCACAGAAACCCAAAAACAACTATCTAGTGCCA